ATGTTTAGATCTGTTGAGCACTTGATGTACTGGATCGATTTGTTGCTCGCATGACTCTTCGTGAGTGTTATATTAGTGCACATTCACCAGGATGGTGCTTGGAAAGATGGCTAGACTGAAGTCCTTTAAATGCTGAAGTTGTCACACTATCAGCAACTGTTTAGTGGATTACTAATGTTATTTGCATCTAGTTTTATTTGATCATTAGTGGAGACCTTTGGAGCCATTAGAGTGGGCACGGTTTCCTGATTGGTTGATTAATATTGCAGAAGCTGGTGGTGTGGTGACTGATGCAGCTGGGAATGCTCTAGATTTCTCACGGGGTAGATACTTGGATGTTGATACAGGCATCATTGTTACCAATGCCAAATTGATGCCCTTGCTCTTGAATGCTGTGCAAGCTGCCATAAGAGAATCTCAATCTGCTGCATCTTTGTAATTAGTTTTATCAGTGAAGCTGTTTATGCAGTAATCTCTCTCTCATGATGTTGACACAAGATTAATAAGTAGGCTACTTTCCTTCAAATGACGAAGCCCGACAAAAACTTTTATGAACATCTAAAACTGCTACCTATCAAGGTCTTGTATCAGTGAACTGTTTATGCAGTAATCTCCCTCTCTCTCTCTCATGATGTTGACCCCAGAAAACATATGTAGGCTAGTTTCCTTCATACGAGGAAGCCAGAAAGAACTTTTGTGAACATTTAAAACTGCTACATTGCAAGATCTTGTATCAGTTTCTTTAGATGAAGAATGATGTAATTTATCCATTGCTTAAGTGGGAGGTCCACCATTTTGAGCCAATGAATTTTGATGGTCTTCTGTTAGTTAGACGTCGAAAGGCCACAAAATGCCTTTTATTGGGATGCTTTGATGCACTCATTTGAGTTACTGGGTCATGTGATTCACTGGCGCTTCTGACAATTCTCTTGTAGCATAGATGAGCAAGACAGATGTTGTGTTCATGTTGTAAAAGAATGGGAAATTTGTTGAAGTACATATAAGAGATCAACTACTCGACATTTTGTTGACATCTTTTGATTTAATTTCAAAATACCCATTATGGCCATGAGTTGGTATAGTTGAAAGAAGGTAAATTGCTAAATTGTTGAAAAGTTACATGTACTTAGATAAATGTCCTTAAAAAGTATTCTAAGGTTTTTTTTTTTTTTCGGAATTTTGGATGGAGAGAGTTGCAATCGTAGGCTGACCTCTTGATTAAAGCAATCAATGACTATAAACAACGTAAATCCTTGAGCCTGATAGGGTAGGTGCAATTTTCTCACTCACAAGCCAATGAGAGTGTTCTAGGGCTTTCATTTAGGGATTGAGAATCTTATGGATGAGGGCCTTTGTTGTATTTTGGAGGCGTGGGCGCCCATATATTGATAACAAGTCTTTAGGCTTCCAATAACATCAAGAAAACTCCATATTTTCTAGTTTGGATAGGACTTGTCATTATCTTCTATCATTAAGTTGGGTTAGATGTGCCCTAGATTTTCTCATCCAAATCTTTTTCTAATTTGGTTATGATTGATAATGAGGAGGTAGGTAAATGATTCATGTAGCCGACTCCAAATAGTTGGGAGAAGGTTATGATGATGATGAGTTAGGATTTGGTTTGGGCATCTTTATCCGAATATTTTTCTCAATTTGATAAGAATTTCCATTATCTTTACCCATCCCAATCTTTCCGTTATACTAATTATAAAAGGAAATCAAATACATCCCACTTTTGACTATTTAATATTTAACTTTTATTTCTACTATTCCAATTCAAAATCATGTATATTATTATGGTATTCTGAAATTAAATCAAAGCATATGGGTAATATGTTAAATAGTTAATACCTCAGGGTATTAAATTTTCCATTATAAAAATATAGTTGGCGACTCCAATGTCCATTTGGAGTTAAGCCCCTAAGGGGAACACACGATCCCATTGTAGGTTACATAAATGAGTTATTCTCTTCTCTTCACTTGGGGAATGATCACAATACAAGAGCTCTCTCGTACGACCTTGCGGGGAAAAAAGAAAAATTGATATCCAAATTAGCACACCGCGATAATGAATTGAAAAAATCTTCCACATTAGAAGAGAGCAGAGTGGAAAGTAAAGCAATCAGCCCCAAATCTAAAGTAAATAACAAAAATCCACCCGACAAATAGCTATCAAAAAGTTGGGGAATGATTAGTAATATTTGTCAAAAAAAAAAAAAAAAAAAAGAAAAAGGAAAAAGAACAAGAAATTGAAATTGGAGAATGATGATGTGATTTTTAAGTAGTGTCATAAAATGTATTGGACTCGTGGACCGCTCATAAAGAAATCTCCAAATTAGTAAAAGTCGGGAAGGATGCAGCCACTACTGCTTCATTGGTACAAAGGGAATGCATTCCAACGTGGCTAGTTGTGGTACGTGATGGATTATATTTGCCTTCAACTCATAGAGTTCATGAGTATGACAGTGCTTGAAATATGGAAGATTTCCTCTAAGTCATAACAATGAGAAGCTCCCTTCAATAAAATTATTTTGACTGATCTGTAAACATTGTGCAGAGCACTATCGTTATTAGAAAAACTCTGGTTCGTTTTGGTTGAGACAAGGGTTTGGATTGGGGCTGGAGGAGATTTTGGGGGATTGCATGAGAGAGAGGCAAGCGTAGCGGGCGGCTTGGGTGTCCGATCTAGGCGTCGGAGACGGATGACGAGATGAGGGTTTTGAGTGGCATGACGGATACTGTGGGTGACTTTGAGGATGAGAAGAGTGTGGGTATCGGATGTAGAAGAGAGGGACGAGATAAGTGCAACAAGGTTGAACGGGAACAGAGAGAGGGATGGAGGCAAAAGGCATTTTAAAAGAATGGGTAAAAACATTCCAATACATCATATTATTGTGCATTTAAACTAAACGGGTTCATTCCCCCCTAAAGCTTTAATTTGAACTAATCACCTCATAAAGAAATTAAAACAACGGAAAGGGGCTAGGGACATGGTAGTAGTACCCCACATCTTAATCACTAATTGTGGTTTTCACTCCCACCATTGATACTATTTTATTGATACTTTCAAAAAGCTTACTCCTAATCTAGTTGAAAAAAATGGATAGGACCAAGTCTTCCCCACTGAATTATCCGGGAAAAAAAGCACATCATGCAGAAATAAACCAAACAACAAAGTGTTATTCCTCATGAAGATACTTACGCTTCTCATTGAACTGAGCAAAGCTCGACAAACCCAAACACATCCTCCATTGCTATATGATCTGATGTATCTGAATCCACAGTCTAACCAATAGGAATTGGATCAGCAACCCATAACTCGGTGCCAGCGTTAGCGAATATGTGAATTGTATTTTCTTTGGCTCACTGCAATAACGAGCACAGTGGACGGTTTTCCTGCGGGTGAAGCAAGTTAGGGTTGACTTGTTCCTTGGAGAACTACTCCTATATTGCTTTCACTTTGCATTGTTGTCCCCAACCTTCATTTCCTCTTTTTTTAGTGAAACTTGTGCCTAGCCCTTGACCTTGGTCTGATTCCATCCTTACCGGCATTACAACCATCATTCATAAAGCAACACTCAGCCTCCAATTCCAAATGTCGAGATAAGTCAACAATGTTGTGACCTCTTATGCATCATCAATATCTTCATCTGATCCAAGGAAGGAGTGTTCAAAGTACCGCTAGATTCTGTTGCTCATCACTCCAAAGCATTGGCAACCTAATCAAGTCCTGAATCATATGTTACATCTTTTTCAAATGCTCTATCATGAGGCATTTTTGTGGCATTCGACGTCTCAAATGTCATTATGATTGCACGTTACATCATGAATGAGGTGCCAACAAATTAAAAATGTGGAAAGATAAAAAAGAGCAAAGGGAACGCCTAAAAATACATGGTTGGAAGTGGTAAGAAAAGAATAAGGACTAACGGTCTCACTGAAGGTATGGCTTTTGATAGAATACTGACCAGAATTAGCCAAACCCAAATAGCTAAAAAGAAAATCTTATGATGATGAGGACATGCTACATTCGCCAGACCATCGCAAAACCTACCTTCAACTTGGCCAATTAGTTTAGAGCCTACCTCCAAAATTTCACTAGAAGAGGTTGTTTTGATGCCCAAATATCTTCAAATTGTTACATCAAGATGCATGGACATGTGAAAAAAGTGGATTTCAAGTTTTGAAAATAGTGTATTTTATAACGTATTTTGGACCGTCAATTTTCAAGTTTTCATAGATCTATCGATCTACACTATTTTTGAAGCTTTAAAATTTATAAATAAATATGAAAATATATTTTAAGGCTATCACAAAGATTTACAGTATTGAAACCATATTTATCAACACTATTTGAAGGTAGGCTCTAAAGTGATTGTTTAGAGCCTAGGCTCTATACAAACAGCACCTGCACCCATTAGTTTATTGTGCATATTAGCACGCAATGGTGAAACGAGGAGAACAAGCTCCACCAATTTTTTCAATGAGGATGCTAGAGCACAACAAATGAAAATTTATGATAAGCTACTTCTTGGAAGGAATTATGCCTAACGCCCAAAGTTCTATTTTTTTTTTTTGTAATCGATGACTTTCATCTTGTCAATCTTTGCAATTGATAAATGGGAATGCTCTCAAATAGATGGACTTGGTGCTTCCTAAACAGATGAATAGCAATATGGGACGTTAGTTAAAGGTGAGAATATGACATAGAACATCTCCATTACTTAAGTAGGCACAACAAATAATTTTTGGCAGCAAGTTTTGTGCATACAAAAGCTATGAATTCTGCCACAAATGAAGCAAGAACGTCATAGATCTGCTCAAGATATAAGATATGGGGTTATCTAAAGATAAGGGGTGATAACGGGTCAACCTGACCCTGGTCTGGGCCTAGACCCACCTAGGGACCCAACAGATCGGGTCCGGTTCCCAATCCATGTCCAACCCGAACCTAACAGGATTGGCCTGGAGTTGACTGGACGGGTGCACAAACACACATATTGGCCCAAACACGACCTAGACACTCTGTTTACAAGCCCAGTTCAGGAGCCTCTCTTCTCCTATCCATTGAGAGAATGACAGAGCTGGGCCATATCAAGCTTATATGAATTCCTCTAGTCAATTACCCTATTTTTCCACAAAGAATGTGATCATAGGGTCTATGATTTTCTCTCCAAACAGAAAAAGGTCTATCCTCTCTCCTCTAGCAAAGTATTTGAGGTGTAGAAGCAGCATCTCCATCTCCTATATCGTTTGCTGGAGGAGGAAATGCCGGCATCGTCTGCAAAACAACATTCCAACTAATTTCCCATCAGTGAGTCCATTACTAATTATTAACCAAAGAATGGATCAAATTTACCAAAGTTTATCAGGCTCTGTCCTTGGAGATCACTTCGGTTGAACACTTGGCCTGGGAAGAGGGTAACTCAATGATATTTGCGGGGCAGGCCATTCTCTGGAACTGTAGAAATTGCTCAGGCTAAGTTTTTAAAGCTAAGTACTGTAAATGTTGAAAAAATATTCTGTGATAGAAGACTATAGGGTTTCAAAGACATCGTCACTAGAGCCAAATACTCACCCATTGTAAAAGCTCTCTGATAGAATCAAATCCATCAATCTGTCTCGCATACCTTGTCAAGAGATGAAACGAAACCAAGAGTCTAGGGTTCCGAAAAATACAATTTGAAGGCAACTTCAACACAACCATTGGGGAGGTTAAAATTATTTGAGTCGGTTCCTTCGTTTCTCTCTCACTCTCTCCAATTTATGTTTCACTGTGAAGGGGCAGTCCAAGAAAGTAAATCACCAAAGTATGGCCTTCTAGCGAGGCTTTATGTTCTCCCCTCCACCCATAAATAGAACATAGTCGTTTTTCTTAACAAAAAAATAGAGAACATGGATGTTCATGCTTGTATGTTCTCTATTTTTTGTTTGTTAGGAAAGACAACCATGTGAATGACTTTCATTTATGTATAAACAGTCCAATACAGCATACTATTTTCAAAGGCTCACTGGTGATAAATCCTAAAGCCCAGTTGCTCCCTCAAACTAAAGAAGGTAAAGAGACAAGCCAACCCTTTCAGCAATGTTACCCATAGAAGATCTGACACCAAATTCTTCTAAAGAATACCATGCTGGAATTCCTTTTGTCACACAATAACTTGATAACAGACTATTGCTTGTACAGTCTCAATTGACAAAAGGAGATGGATCTGAATTTTTCAAATGATTATCCACCACTCCGATGAATACAGTACAATTAAAATTGATACATTATCAACATGATGGATTTATTTTTTTATTCCTAACTAACCATATCAATGATCTAAAGAGGCACGTCGAGGGGGTAATCTTTTGGATGCTTTGCAACAGTTTCTCGGATATATTTTTCTTGCTCAACAAGGTGGTTGGGAAGAGAATCATAAACATCGGTAAATAAGTCTGCAACTGAAGGCTTCTCCTGTCTTTCTGCAGCTTGAATGGCATGTAACACCTACAAGGATGACAAAGCATTGAGAGAGAGAGAGAAAGAGCGAGCGAGAGAGAGAGAGCGAGAGAGAGAGAGAGAGAGAGAGAGAGAGACTCCCACCTTCTTCCTCACTTCACTTCGGAGTTCTGATTCCTCTTTGTCGGTCCACCAGCCATTTCGATCAAGCCACTTCCTAAACCTGGAAGTTGGATCCCGCACTGTCCTCCAATGCTCAATTTCTTCCACCGGGCGATACTTGGTGGAATCATCTGAGGTGGAATGATGGCTTACTCTATATGTAAGGGCCTACAAGTTCAGAAAACAATAATTTGCAAGAACGAATAGCCATTATTACCATTTAGATAAAATTGCATTCATTTCAAGTATACAAAAAACTTTCATTCTACAGATAAAACTTTCACCTCAATTAAGATGGGTCTAGATTCCTTGATGGCCATTTCACGTGCAACACTAACAGCATGATATACAGCAAGAGCATCGTTCCCATCCACCCTTATGCTTCGAATTCCATAAGCAGGACCCTTAACAACAACACCATCACCTGTAAAATCCAATTATGTAAAGGAGAAGAACGTGAATGACATGATAAAATCTATAGGGAATGTTATAGTCACTGCAAGATTGGTCATTACTTCGAAACTGTTCTGAAGTTGGAGTACTGATTGCCCACCCATTGTTGCGACATATAAACAGAACAGGGACCTCTGTCACTGCTGCAAAATTTAAGGCACCATGGAAATCTCCCTAGCAAATATGTGTGTGTGTGAGAGAGAGAGAGAGGAGGGGGAGGGGGGGGGGGAGGGGAGTAGAGAATAAGTAGT